GTTCGAGATTGTGACATTGGTTTTATATGGCTGAGACTTGGAGTATTTCTTTTGAGTATTGTTTTCATTCATAGAGTTGGAATTGGTATTTAGGGATTTACAATTTGAGACATATGGTATATATATGAGGGTTTCCTTGTTTGGATTATTTTGCTCGACGTACTACGTCTCGTCTTGTAGGTATCTAAATATTAACTCCATTAGATACGGGAAAAATAATATAGGTAGATTATGCTTAATAGATAGAGCATTCACTTCATCTAGCAGCCCTTCCCCTGGGGGCAGATGGAGGTGATCTTGCTGTAGCGCTCTGACGCTCTTGTTGTTGTTCTTTTTATTTAAATTGTCTCTTTCAGGCAAATCAGAGTTTTGGAGAGTCGTAGGATGACTGAGTTTTAGCATAGTCGCTGTCGCATAATTTTAGTAGTTGAAGCTCCACTATATAGTTATGCTCATTGTTCAGACTTTAGAGTTGTATTCATTTTTTTAGGCTGAGTGCCTTAGTGAGATTTCATTTGACTTATTGTGTTGAGATGTATTTCAGACTCAGAGATATTTTTATTCTTTTTTTCAATTGGACTCATTTGTTGATATACTTCTTCTGTGCATATTTGATTTTATACTACTTCTATTATTTGCCTGTTTTGTACCTTCACCTAATTGTTGATTCCACTAGAAAGATAGTGATAGTGATGGTGAAACATGTCGTAGCATAGTGTTTGGTGCTTGGCAGGTTTGATAATCTGGGTTTCACCTTGAACTGCAGCCTTGTGTGAACCTAGGGCGTCACAGGACCTCTCTCTGGGTTGGCACCAGCTCTTGGTAATATCAATAGGCAATCTGGTAGTTGATTTTGCTAGATGTTCCTTTAGGAGTCTTCTGTTAAGTTTGTTACATCTGTTTATGTCATAGAATACATCCTGTTTCACTTTCTTTTTTGTTAAAAAAAATTCATATTTCATGCTTGCTCTAATACATGTCTTATCTATTTTCATACCAAGTGCTTCTGTGCCACTCATTTATTGTGTTTCATTAACACGTTCATTTTTTCATAGACCTAATATACATAAAATATGTTTATAATATCTTCTTTTTGTTAGACCCTAGAGGGAGGATGATTAGGGTCTTATGCTAATCTAATCCGATTAAATGCCAATTTAATATCAATTAATAAGTTATCCTAGCAAGTATGAAATACAACAAGATATGTAAGCTAGGATAAGCAATATGAACAAATGAATATATCCTATCAATGAGATATTACAAGTATATGAGCAAGGATATATAAACTCAAGGGTAAACAATCTAAACTAGATAGTGGGCAATATAATCAACAAGCAATATACAAAGGCGATATAAGATATGAACATAAAAGTAAGTGCGCCAATGCAATCACAAACAAACAATATGATTACGGAGTTCGGTCCCCACGACCTACGTCTCCGCTCCTCACCTCGAGGAGATCTCCACTATCTCAACCGGGTTTTCTACGTTCACCCGAACAACGTTTACACCTCACAATACAATCACTATGCAATCACACTTCACACACTAAGTGTTGGTCCTAGCCCGTGTCCTCCTCCTCAAGTGCTCGGTTACAACCTCTCCCTAGGCACGTCAACCAACGCCACTCCTCTTAGATTCGACCTCGTCTCTCACCACACACTTCTCTCGGTGTATAAGTGTATTACAAATGAATCCTCATAATTAGGCACAATATAAATCAATTGATTGTTCTCTAAACAAGATGAGAACTCAATTAAGCTCACTCTCAATGTCACAAACCCACAACCCTAAATTATACTATGAATGTAAATACAATAAGCTCAATAGGTTGTGTGTGAACAAAGAGTATCAATAAAACGATTAAACTAAACTCAATATAAATCTAGCTTATGGAAATTATAATCAAAATAATAAATTGCTAGATGAGTTTAGAAACACTTCTCTAAAGATGACAAGAGAGTAGGAGAAGAGTGAATGCTCAAACACCAAAGGATGATCTCCACTTGCTCTTGTGAAATTTGCTTCACAAACAAAACTCTTAAACACTCTTTTAAACAAACACAAAACACCCTTAAACTTATTTAAACAATTCTCTTATTCTGTCGGTCGACCGATGGAGAGCAAAACACGAAGAAACGTTCTGGACCATCATCGGTCGACTGGTGCGGTCGACCGATGGAGCTTTCGGTCGACCGGACAGACTCTCTGTCGCCTAGTGATGAAAGATCAAATGATCGGTCGACCGGTGCGGTCGACCGAAAACAGATATGACAGGTTCTGAAAAATTGTTTATCTGATTTTAAAACACTGTTTAAAAATATCAAATAAATTCCAAAAAATGTAAAACTTTGGGGAATGATTGTAGACATGATAATAAACATGCTACAATGATTGGTTATCAAAAAGGACTTCCCAAATGAAAAATATCATCATTTTACAAAATAGTCCAAAACATGAAAATATGAGATACTTGAATTTTGATGTTTTGACATAAACCAACTTTTGAAACTTTGTGAAATGTTTTTATAGACTTAGTAAAACATGTATAAACTGATATTGAAGTCTACAAACTAAACATACAATATTTTCACAAAATTGCATATTCTATGCAATGTTTTCAAAAACACAATAGAAAATATGAAATATATAATTTCATATATATAATCATAAAAACTCAAAACACATGTATGTATATATATAACTATATATATGCATAGAAACCAAAACTTATGTATATATATATATAACTATATGTATATATGAAGAAACCAATAAATGTGTGTGTATAGATATTAAGCTTAATGTATTAAACACACAATATAAATCCTAAAACTAAATTACCCAAGCTTGATCTTGATCTTCATTGAGTTCAACTTGGTACACGTTGCGGATGAAGCTAAACTTGGATCTTGAACTTGAATTGTACGATGCTTCACTCCACAATTCCTCCAACCTCCATTGGATATGATCGTTGAAGCGCAATTCCATCCATCCTTCAACAACGTTGTTTGTCTACAATACATAGGAATACACAAACACTAGACAAACAACATTAGTAGTAAATTGTTTGTAAATCATCATCAAAACAAGAAGGCCAACACTTTTTATTAAATACTGCCAAAAATACCTTTACCAGACTAGCAATTACTAAATTTCGTACTTGAAACTTTAATTTAGGTGGTAAAGAAGGGAGAACAAGTGGTTGCTTAGCAGAGCCTTCTCGTCGCCGTTCATCGGGACAAGCCGTAAATGCATGAAGCTTACTAAAAAAACTCGGGTAGCAAATGATTCAAAAGAAGATTTGGTGAGTCAATAGTTCTATATGTCATTGTTTTTAGCCTGTGATAAGTTAGCTTCAGTGGATTTATGTGACAAATGAATTTCATTCTAATAAGAAACATATTGGAGCCCAATCTGAGAGCGAACTCTACAGGAGAAATATCAATTAAAGTCGATCCATATCTGTAAAGACAAATATGATTCTTCAATGATAGAACTGTTGTTTTAAGAGTATGATTATTTGGCTCTTTGCCTTCTCAAAATTTCTTGCTCTATACTATCTTCGCGGTTATTTAGCATTTTGCGGTTTACATTGATTCGATGAACTTCATAGACATGTAATCAGAAAATCTCAAGCTCCTAATAGGCATAAGTAGCTTACCGCTCGAAACAAAATCGAACCATTAAAGCTCAATATATCTAATGATAAAGAGAGATATTTATAGTATCTCTACTATTTGTTGCATGACTATTAATTATTTTAAGAAGATAGAAATAAGTAAGACTAAAGAAAAAAATTTGATGCTACTATTTTAGTAACATTTATATTGGATGATTATGATTAAATATGTCGTCTATTGTCATCTGTATATAGGTAGCATTTGTTGATTGAAACTCAATGATGTATATCAAATAAAATTCTCTTATGAAATTATTCATTGTTTTCTATTGTTAAGGATGCAAACAATTTATTATCACTCAGTTGATACATAAATGCAATTTCACTATTCAATCCTTTTGAATTTTTAAATTCTATCCATATGTTTGATACATGGTTTAAATTAAATAATTCTTAATGAAATGAATCAATAATAAAATATTAAATTAAAAAATTTACCACGTGCAAATCATACTATCATACTAGTAACAATATATGTCCACGATATTCACTGTTTAATTGAACAATCAAGGACCTGAACCTCTAAAGCTTGAGCATAAGTCTACGAGTCGAAACAAGCAAGTCAAAAAGGCCGAGGCTCACATGCTCTTTTGGGCTTACGAAATTTTTCATCCCGACTACATCTTTATTCTCAGACTATCCTTTTATGCGAGTGTAATATTCTGATCCATAAAGAGTCGGTTAAAATCTTCAAATTACCCCGTTCTTCCCTATGGATAGCTCAGTAGCTCATGCACGCCGTTCATACGCAGGATATTCTGAGACTCCATTTCAAGCCATCACTTGTCATCCAACGAAAGTCCGTTCTTATTTTCTGTTGGACCTCAATTCAGCCCAATGTTGAAAGACCTGTGTGAGGCCCATCAAAGCGTTGAACGAAGGCCCATCAAAAGTCCGCCGATCATATCTTTTCCTGTACTCATAATCCTCTACGTGTCAAGTGCAGTCACTACTCTCACGACACGTGTCCAACGTCTCTCACCTCTTGTCAACAAAGAACTACTTTTCTCTCTCATCCTCCTCCTCATTAAAGAAACCACCTCATATCTCCCGCTGTCCGCTATTTGTCGCATCGCACCCTTCCACCTGCCTCTACCCCTCGTTCGTTGGCTCACTATTACAACCAAAAAAATAAATAAAAAAACTGAAACCCAAAAAAAACCCTAACCCTAGCACAAGGTAAAGAAAGCGTGCACGCGTTATTTTGCTGCAGAGAGGAGCCGTGATCGATTCACAAAGGCGGAATCGTTGAAACCCGAAACCTAATTCCAACCCTGATGCGACCTCAAGAATTCCTGCATTCGAGATTTGGGTAATGGAGGGTTTCAGAGGAGGAGGAGGAGCCAGCGGTGCCTCCGGCGAGGGCAGCAGTGATTGTAGGCCTACCCTCGTTCGCCATGCTTCTCTTGTGAGGCTTCTCTCTCGTCCTCTCTCTCTCTCTCTCTCTCTCTCTCTCTCTCGCTCTCCCCTTCTTTTTGAAGAAAGTTGAGATTTTGTTTAATAATTTGGATAATTGATGGGTCTTGAGTAGAAAACGACATGTGGGGTCATCGCCATGATCATCATAGGATACACTTTCTGATAGTATATTGCAATTGACTATCAATAGTCAGAGTAGATTTTCTATAGGAAATTACATTCAATTGTATAGTAGTTAAAATTGGAAACTTAATATGCGTAACTAATAGATGGATGGATAATAAAATCATAAGATTGGAGTAGCTGAAAATATGCGAACGATCTATATTGAGGCAAATATGATATCTTTTGTGGAATATAAATTGTGTAATTTGTAATTTTGTAACGTGGGTTATTTAGATAAAAACCATTCTTATATTGGTTATAATGGAACTCATTCATTTGTTTCTTGGGGGTGGTTAGGCATGGGGATGGAGGAGATGCTGCTTCAAAATTTGGTACATGAGAAGTTAGGATTGTGAGTTAAGACATGGTGGGAGGATTAAGTTAGGATACTAAATCATTCATTTTATAGTCCATAGCTTTTCTTCTCTCACGAGTGGACTTATAGCTCCTCTTCTCATTCACCATGCTAACCTTCAGCCGAAGCCTCCTACCCAATTCTATGGAGATGTGTCCCATAAACCGGCCATTGACCTCTTGTCGGTAAATGACGCCGAAAATGAGTGCACCATGAAATGCATAGTGGGTAGCTTTCTTTACAAAGGAAGGTTATTTTTGCATGAGAGGATATTTGAAGCTATCTGAAGAAAGTTATGGCGGGTTCACTCTATCGGCAAAGGAGATAATGTATGACGGAAAAGGTTCCTCAGTGGAAGTTTGATATCTCTTGAGAAGATGCTCATGGATGAAGATTGATGGCTAAAGGGGACATTGAGCTGCTTAATGGCTGTGTTAAAAAACTTAGATTGAGAACCCTGAGAAATTTCAGACTTTGAGAATCACAAGTCTGAAGTTGTGTAGACGCCGAGCAAACATGACGGAAGTTGAAGTTCTGAAAGCATAATGATATTTTCTAGGATATTTGAAGTTAGAATTTTCAATTTAAGAAGTGAGTGACAGAAAATTTCAACATAGGACCATAGTTCAGTGCAAGGCTTCCACCTACATTCAAAGCAGCGAAGAGCTTTTTTCCAAATAAGAAGCAAGAGATGAGTTGTCTCACGTCTTTTTTCATTTGGATGTTCATCATTTCAAGGTGCGCTAGTATGTGCAGTTTGGCAAGATGCATACATCCATGGGAAAACTGGATCTATAAATATTATTACATCATGGTTAAGTGATATGTGTTAAGTGGCACATCAGCTCCACAGATGTAAAGGTTCTGGCTCTTAAGATGATTAATTTAGATGTGATTCCTAAGTTATTATATATTTCTTCATAAACACGAAGAATCTAGGATCACAAAGTGAGATGGCTGGCATATTGGATATGATTTATCTACAACTGATAGTTTGATGAGAAGAAAGTATTCTAACTGCAACCTTTTGCGTGGATTTTTTCTTTTCTGTAGATTATCTGTGAAGTAATAATTGATTGGGGATAGTGTTTTTGTAGAATATAACTTCTAACATACTTTTTCACATTATAGGAAGATTAAGCACAATTTTGTTGAAGTTGGTCAAGGTGTCTCAGCTAACATCCTTAGCAGAGAAGTATCATATACACAGATACATCATATGTCAACCTTCCTTCTTTTTTTTAAATTGTCAAATTGTGTTTGGTTCTGCAAGCAAGTCTCAGAAAAGGGCTTAATATTTGTAAATTGTGTTTGGTGTACTCTTGCAACCCTGTGGTGGCCTTCTATATCAAAGAGAAATTCACAACTTTTGATTTTTTATTTCGCTAATCACCTGAGCATTTACCAATGAGGGACATATTACTCTAATTTAGTCAAGCATAAATTGGCCTAGATCATTGACTTTTATCAACTTTTGTAAGTATTTTGCCCTTTTTTGTTAACTGTAGTTTTATACTAAGAAGCACCGACTCGTGAAAACTCCCCCCGTCCCCGTGTCCGACGCTTGTCGGGGACGGACGCGCGTTCGACACGTGTTCGACACGCGTCGGACACGGCGTCAACGGCGTCAACACGGTCAGCTCTAGTCGACACGGCGAAGTTGAGGGCGACACGGCGAAGTTGAGGGCGACACGGCTAAACCAGAATTTGAAACCCAAACCCGAAACCCAAACCCGAAACCCAATTTCAAAGTTAAAGAAACCAAAAACCCTAACCCTAGCCGTCACTCGTCAGAAATCAAAACTTACCCGATCAATAGTACGTCCTTGTCCTCGTCTCGTCCTCGTCGTCAGCTCTCAGTCACGTCCTCGTCGTCGTCGATCATCCCCGTCAGCTTCGTCGTCGTCGTCGTCGATCATCCAAGGTCAGTCGTGCTCTCTCTCTCTCAGTTGATCTCTCTCTCTCGCAAGTACGATCGATCTCTCTCTTTCCGATTCTCCCTTTCCCTCTCTTATCTCTTTCTCTCCCTCTCTCCTTCTCTCTCTTTTATCTCCCTCTCTCCACACAAGAGCCCCCGTGAACTTTCCGTTCCCCAGAAAGACCCCCACTCAATTCCCACTCACCCGACAAACTCCTGTTCTCTCTCCCTCTCTCTCTCAAATATCGCACATAACCCCACGCTAATTTTAAAGTGACGCTGCCCACGCTGCTCTTTAAAATTATTATTTTCTTGCTACTGTTCTGCTGTCCCCCACCACGCTGATTTGCTGTTTTAAAATTATTTTCTTTTGTTACTGTTCTGCTGTTGGGGGGTAATTAGTATAGTGATCTTTGGTTACTGTGTTGCTGTTCGACGTTAACTGGTATACTGATTTCTGGTTACTGTCTTACTGTTGGGGGTTAGCTAGTATAGTGATTTCTGCTTACTGTTTTGCTGTTGGGGGTTATATTTGTCATTGATTACACAAGCTAGTATTACATAATAATACAACATAAAAATTGATCTATTTTTCTATATGTTCATCTTTTCTTTCTTATCTTCTTTAACATTATTATCTTTAATTCTCCAAGAGATCATTGTCATCCCAACATCTTACTTCACACCTGCAACACACACAGACACATTTTCCATTAGTTTCTTATTTATAATCCCCACTTTACATAACAAAAAATATGAAAATGTAATAGGAATTTAATTCAATATTGATCTATATATAATAATAATATTAAAAAATCTAGCCGTGTCGCCGTATCCTATTTTTTGGGGTTTTGCCGTGTCCGTGTCGTGTACGTGTCGCCGTGTCCGTGTCCGTGCTTCATATGTTTTATAATCAGCAAAAGACCTGACAGCAGTTGCATGTACAGGTTGTTAAAGTTGACAAATTTAGTGCTTTATAGTAATCTGCAGTTGTTTCCTCTATCACTAATTTCTTTGTCTGTAGATGGTCTTATGATTGCATCAGACTCATGTTTTCTAATTTTAACCTTTATACTTTGATGTACTAAGTCGAACTTTTGCAGATGAAGACTATGCCACTGGATGTACCTATTGAGACTGAAACGTGCAGAGAAAGCTGTGATTCTGACTTCCTCCCAATTGTGCGTTCTGGAGGTTGGGCTGATATTGGATTTAGACGAAGCATGGAAGATGTGTATGTTTGCTATGACAACTTGATGCATGAGTTTGGGCTAAAGAAGCTTGAAGAAGGACCCAATGCCTTTTATGGGGTATTTCCTCTTTAATATGCATATATTCTTTTTAGTCATGCATCAAACTTTCACATGCTCTTTAAGGACATGGAATTAGATTTAACATTTGGATGTATTTTAAAGAAGTTTTTTTGTCCACCCTACTATGGGCTAGTTTGGTATTGCTTTTTCTAGACTGCTTCCGCTTATTTTTTTGAAGAAGTGGTGAACAATGGTGTTTGGTAAGACTTATTTTATGTGCTTATTTAAACTCCTGGTGTTTTAAGAGGGTGCTTTTAGAAGCAACTTGGGGATGCTTATAGTTTTAGTGCCATATATACACTTTATCTTTTGGCATTATTACCTTATCTAGGCCAACAAGTTATCTTGTTTATTTTGATCACTAAAATTATGTCTATTTTTGTCTTTTTCCCTTATAATGATCTTTAAACACAATTTTACCTTATTGCTTTTCTAATTATATTCCCATCTGTATTTATTTTTCAGTCAGAAGAGTATCTCAGGCCATTTAATAGTGTAGCACTGTTATCCAAACATCTATTTTCAGTAACTTATATAAGTTGCTTTTATAAGGTACTTACATGAACAACTTTCCATAAACTCCAGCAATACCAAACTAGCCCATGCAGATAGCTTCAATATATTTGTTTCTGATACTTGATACATTCCTAATTATATTCCCATCTGTATTTATTTTTCAGTCAGAAGAGTATCTCAGGCCATTTAATAGTGTAGCACTGTTATCCAAACATCTATTTTCAGTAACTTATATAAGTTGCTTTTATAAGGTACTTACATGAACAACTTTCCATAAACTCCAGCAATACCAAACTAGCCCATGCAGATAGCTTCAATATATTTGTTTCTGATACTTGATACATTCCTAATTATATTCCCATCTGTATTTATTTTTCAGTCAGAAGAGTATCTCAGGCCATTTAATAGTGTAGCACTGTTATCCAAACATCTATTTTCAGTAACTTATATAAGTTGCTTTTATAAGGTACTTACATGAACAACTTTCCATAAACTCCAGCAATACCAAACTAGCCCATGCAGATAGCTTCAATATATTTGTTTCTGATACTTGATACATTCCTAATTATATTCCCATCTGTATTTATTTTTCAGTCAGAAGAGTATCTCAGGCCATTTAATAGTGTAGCACTGTTATCCAAACATCTATTTTCAGTAACTTATATAAGTTGCTTTTATAAGGTACTTACATGAACAACTTTCCATAAACTCCAGCAATACCAAACTAGCCCATGCAGATAGCTTCAATATATTTGTTTCTGATACTTGATACATTCCTAATTATATTCCCATCTGTATTTATTTTTCAGTCAGAAGAGTATCTCAGGCCATTTAATAGTGTAGCACTGTGCTAGGAGCCAAGGATACTTGATACATTCCTAATTATATACCTTTGTTTAGTTTTATTTACTTTAGACAGTAAAGCTTCTTGTGAGTTTTGTGTATAGTCATTACTGCTACTTGATTGTCTAGTTTTCAGCTCATGTCTTGTGAGTCTCAACTGATTCCATAACTTACTATATAAAATGGTTACCTGTAGGTTTTTGATGGGCACGGGGGAAAGCATGCTGCTGATTTTGCTTGCAGCAATTTGCTGAGGTTTATCGTAGAGGATGATGACTTTCCAAGGGAGATTGAGAAGGTAGTTGCCTCTGCATTCTTACAGACAGACACTGCTTTTTCAGAGGTATGCTCGTTGGATTCTGCCCTTGCTTCTGGTACAACTGCATTGACCGCACTCGTTGTTGGAAGGTGGGTTTTCCTTTTACCGAAGTTTCATTTTAGATGTGCATGTTCTTTATATCAAATATAAGTTGTATTGGTAGTTTAGTACGCAAGAGTCTGTTTGGTGGTATTATATTCCTAGCAAATTCCTGACTTTGGTGTAGGTACAACTCAACATTCACAGGAATATTTGATTTATGTGGTATTACTGTATTCCGCCCGCATTTTGTGGAAATGTGTCTGTCTATGTGATATGTTTACCAGTTACATTTATGCTGGGTGAAAAACTTCAAATAAAAGAAACTTGTTTTTGCAAAGGCCTCTCTTCCTCTTTAATATTATTTAGTTTTAGCCATCTTTTTTCTTTACCCCATCTTCTCCTTCAGTAGCTGATGTTACAACTGTTGCCAACTGCTCTGCAACCATAGCCCATAGCCATTGCTTCATAACCATAGTCATCAACTTTGGAATTATTTTAGGGAGTAACACAGTTCTAGGAATCTTCCTAACTTATCGAACACAATTTATTGGGAATGTCTAAATTATATGAAACATGGTATGGTAATATTCTAGGGAAATTTGATACTAGGGAATTATATTTGCATAAATGTCGTTGTAAGTTTATAAGATATGTCTTGTTTCCTGAAGATCTTTCAACTTTTATGTGAAGAAACATTATTTAATAATAGCATATAGCAGCTATCTAGCGTAGAGAATTTCTAGGATCTGGAGTGTAAGAGTGCAAGTCTTGAATAACATGCTCCTTCATGAAAGAGCTTTTGTTCTTCTTATAATGTCCCTGTTTCGTGGATGCCTCATTTCTACAATAATGATATTCTATCTCAGTAGAGGCTGCTACCTGAAGCCATTATGGCGCTAACATGCTAAGGGATCTATAAAGAACTTTTCCTTATAAAACCTACTCTGTACAGCATCTTCGATATTTAGACTATCATCTGAAAGAGAGTTTGTTGCCCTCACTTTGAGCCACAGCCTTTATTCTTGAGACTGTTTCAGTTCCCATTGAAATGAATCAGATTAATCAGGTTGTCCTCACCATTCACACACACACACTACATGCGCGCGTGCGTGCACACACACACACACGAAGAACAGAACAGTGATATAACTGACTGTTCCCTATATTTGATGTTTGAGTGTGACTGTACCCCATATTTGATGTTTAATCACACTCAATCTGCTTCAAAAGAGAGCCTCGTCTTGTCTGAAACATTTCCACTTTTAGTAGTTTAAACGGTGAAACATGTATAAGTTCGTATGAATCGTATCATAGATTCCATTGAACAGAACGATGCAATTATTTGGATGACCATTGCCAAATTGAAGTGATAAGATTACAAAATTATGGAGCTAGAGAACTACAGATAGACCTAATAAAACTCCGTTAGAAGCGATTAAGAAGGATATGATAAGTGATTATCTTAATGGAGCAGACAACCCTTACCAGAACTAAATGAAGAATAAGATTTTCAATAGCCAGCCCCATAAATCTGGGATAAAAGTTTGTTGTTGTTATTGTTGTTGTTTGTTGTTGTTGTTGTTGTTGTTGTTGTTGTGGTTGACAATTGATAAGTCTACCTAAAGAGCTAGTGTGGTTATCATTAGGCAAAAGAATTTAATTGGTTGGGCTAGTTGGTGAGCTCTTAATTGATACTCTTTTGCACCTCCTGATGTTTGTTGGGACAGGTCACTTGTGGTGGCAAATGCTGGAGACTGTAGGGCAGTCCTTTGTCGACGAGGCAAAGCCATCGAGATGTCCAGGGACCACAAGCCAGCCTGTATTAGAGAGAGGAAGAGAATTGAAGCCTCTGGAGGCTACGTCGAAGATGGATACCTCAATGGGCAGCTCAATGTTGCCCGTGCATTAGGAGACTGGCATATGGAAGGGTTAAAGGACCCTCACAATGGCGCGGGGCCTCTAAGTGCCGAGCCTGAGGTGATGATCACTAGGCTAACAGAGGAGGATGAGTTCCTTATCATTGGTTGTGATGGAATTTGGGATGTTTTTCGAAGCCAGAACGCCGTGGATTTTGCAAGAAGGAAGCTACAAGAGCACAATGATCCGGTGATTTGCTGCAAGGAGCTGATTGATGAGGCATTGAAGAGGAAGAGTAGCGATAATATGTCAGTTATCGTGGTTTGTTTTGATTCAAAGCCGCCTCCTGCTCTTGCTATGCCAAGATCTAGGGTTCAGAGGAGCATATCGGCGGAGGGGCTCAAAGAGTTGCAGAGCTTTTTGGATAGTTTGGGGAACTGAACTTAGAACTGTTGTACTTGTACTTTATATGTCTTAGGTATTTGAGAGAGTTTGTTGAGATGTAACATATGCGGCATCTAGGGTAGCAGTTCTTTTTCATAATCTAGCTTCTTTATCACTCAAAAGATTTCTATATTCCTTTTAAATTTTCTTGCTATTCATTGAGAGCGATGTCCCGTGAGTGTCTGATGCTGCTGTCTGATGAAAGATGTTGTTCATTTCTTGTCGACAAAGTTAAACAATGATCCAATGATGTTTAGATGGACCCAAACTTTACAGAGATGGAGTTGAACTGAAGCGACGCTGAGATATTGCGTCATTTTGTGCTTTTTAACTTCTTACTTACTCTATTGATGGTATTATGAGATGTTAGTTCATTCTGTTTCTTCCACATCTCTTTCTCTCTCTCCACACCCCCACCCCCCACAACACCCCTCTTCTTCTTCTTCTAATTATTTTTTAAGGGGGGTGTGGGGTACATACTTCAAATTTAGATCAGTTGAGCTTCGGTGATTGATTCACGTAACTTCGGTTGTGTACACCATAAACTTATTGAGATCATGCTTTAAGCATATGCCAACTGATAATTCGAGAAGCTTTCCTGATGCGTCGTTTGTCAGGAGAGAAATCTTAACTGAAGCATCAATAACTAGATATTTAAGATAGCAAATAAACAATGAATTGGACACTAGTCAAATATACATTATAGCAAAATAATAAACTGTTAGTTTCACGCCGTTATAACATGAAGATATCGTTGTGAAACTTTGTTGCAATCTTCATTAAGTTATCATATCATCAATATATGACAGCAGGATATTAAGATAATAATATAACGCTCAACCTCTGGGCACAGCCCAAAGTAAGCGTTGTTGTGACCACAGGAGACCCAAAAGCTTTATATTCCAAATACTTTGTTTTTGGCTCTTGGCAGAAAAGAACCATGGCAGACGACAGCCTGCTTATATTTATGTACATGTCTCTTAAATATTTGGTGGTAGGTTTGGCAACAGCCAAACTCAGCTGTAACCTCAATAATGTCAAGTTTGGTATAAGCTCCTGTCTCTTAATTTTATCCCTCTTTTAAACTTTTCTGAGAGCTACCAAAATCTAACTTACATCTCGATGCAGGTGATGGTGTAAGTTATGTTCATTGGCCAGGCTGCCAAACTTTTATTTATTGTTATCATTCTTTGAAATAATAAATGATAAGTGCAGTCTTAATCCTGGAATTTGTATTACTTGAAGATAAGGGGTTGGGACAGAGAACCAGCCCTGGGGTATGTAATTAATTCATACACAATTGAAGATGCAACCATATGATTTCATATCATATGATTTCATCCTCTCTCTTTACATCTGTTCTCTCTTTTTTTACAGAAAAGTAACAGTTACTAAAATACGGAGCTAGCAGTCCTTTTCTTTCTCTAGTCTTTTGCGTTGTCCACGAAGAATCTCTCTGGTCCCATTTATTCTCTCCCTTTTGTTTTTAATTTAGAAGGTAGCTCACGAGGAAAGCGTGTGAACAAAAGGAAAAACATATGCAGGGTTAGTAAGGACAACTGATGGATATGGAAGTGCAATTGTTTTCTCCTTCACAAAAGCATAAAAAAAAAAAAAAAATTTTAAGGAGGTATTAGGATAGGGCTAATCACATTGTTTAAGGATTGAGGTCTACATCCCATGGGTCTTTGTTTCAATTAAAAGTTCTGGATTGAGTGCTGCTATGTCTTCAACGCTGATAAAAACTGAAAAATAAAAATAACATAGGAGGAGGGTAGATGATTCTTTCTCTACTCTACCCATGTGAGACCATTCTCAAACATGAAATTCTAAAATCCTTCTTTTCATTTGTGAGTGTAGATCAATCCTCCGTGGAAGCAATAAACCCTCCACTGACTTGGTCTTAACCGGCAACATTCTTGAAGGGGAAACTTAGCTAAAGACACCTATGGGATCTTCAACTGCTTTTGGGCTAACCAGATCATTATCACTCTTGTGGGAAATTTTAATCGTCATCTATGGATTAACTTGACTTCGGAACTATCAATAACCATGTATATGCAACATATCAACATCTATAGGATCTTCCACCATATAGGTGGGCTAATTAGACCTTAATTCACCTGACTTGGTCTAAACCAACAACCACGGCGCTACAACATTTCATGCCAACAGTTGTTGGAATTTTCACCATTTAGGATTGGTGAAGTAATCTAATTTCGGTCATTCTCGTGATATGTTTTGGTTTCATATTAGACTTTACTTTTTCAACATTTAGGATTGAGCATAGCCTAGACTCATATACTAATTTTTGGGGAGAAAATATGGTTGAATCGGGAACTAATGGACCTTAAATAGAGGTTATGAACCAAAGTACCCAAAAAAGTTAAATTATTTGAAATTATTCAAAGTTTTTTGTTTAAGTTGATCATCCTTTCTTAACTTTTTCAACATGAAACTATTTTCATACCTGATATTCACATTGCCCATGCCATGCCACTTTATACTTTAGCTTTTAGCCTTGCCCATTTCAATCAACTACTTTGGAAGCCGGAGCCATCTCAATCAGTTCTTCATTGTTATAAAGCTAACAGAAGTTTCAACTAATAAATCATGATAACACGTGGCCTTTTTACAATAACCCTGTGACTCGATATAAATAATAAATTAAAATTAAGAAACATATACATGCTAACTAAAAAAAATCATGTGAGTCATAGCTGCATACGTTATTCTCTATATTATGAATGAACCCACCATGTCTTTTTTCTGCGATGGTGATACCAGTCATTGTCAAAAATCCTCTCTTAGCTTTTTGTTGTCACTCTTGATAGCAAACTTACTTTTAATTAGCCAAAAAAAATTATCATTATTCGGTGATTATCTATGCTTATTGTGGTTATTGGGAAAAATATAATAACTAGAAACACCGGTAGTGATGTCAAAATGGAGGATCTCTCACTATTATAAACCGGAAGCGGAAAGCAATGAAAAAGTTTCTAACAGCTAGCACTTGTCAATAAACGAAACAAACCTAATCAAGAAGCAATCATTAAAAACACTGTAAATTAAGAAACATCAGACCTCAATATATCTTGTAAAATGAAGATAAATTTGAAAAACAAAATATTGATTTTAGAAAAGGGAAAATTGTGTCAATGTCCCAAAAGCAAAATCTTTATGTGCTGCAGCCCCTTTGACTTTCTCCCATGTATTTTAGCCCTTAAATTGAAGATCTATGCTCTACAGCCCTCTTTTAGCAATGATTACCTGCCAGCTAAGTATAGAGAGAGAATAAAAATTAAAAATTTTAAAATGCTCTTATTTCCTCTATTCTTTCATGTTAAGTCTAAAAGCTTTCATGTTAAGTCTAAAAGCAAGTTAAATTAGACTTAACATGAAAGTCTAATTTCATATTAAGTTCAATTTGATTCATGTTAAGTCTAATTTAATTCTTTTAGGTCTAATTTAAATCATTTTATGTCTAATTCAACATGTTTCAAGTCTAATTTAATTCATGTTAAGTCTAATTCAATTTATTTTAAGTCTAATTTCATGTTAAGTCCAATTTAATTCGTATTAAGTCTAATTTAATTCTTTCATGTCTATTTTAAATCATCTTATGTCTAATTCAACTTATTTTAAGTCTAATTTAATTGAACTTAACATAAAATAAGACTTAAAAAAGTTAAATTAGACTTGACATGATTTAAATTAGACTTAAAAGGAATTTAACATGATTGAAATTAGACTCAACATGAATCAAATTAGACTTAACATGAATCAAATTTGACTTAAAATAAGTTGAAATGGGCTTAACATGATTCATGTTAAGTCTAATTCAACTTGTTTTTAGACTTAAAAGAAGTTGAATTAGACATAACATGATATAAATTAGACTTAAAAAAAAATTAAATTAGACTTAAAAGGGAATTAAATTAGGAATAACATGAACCGAATTAGTCTTAACATGAACTAAATTGAACTTTACATGAATTAAATTGGACTTAATATGAAATTAGATTTAAAACAAGTTGAATTAGACTTAAAGTGATTCATGTTAAGTCTAATTCAACTTATTTTTAGACTTAAAACAAGTTGAATTAGACATAACATGATTTAAATTAGACTTAAAAGAAATTAAATTAGACTTAACATGAATTAAATTGGATTTAATATGAAATTAGGCTTAAAATAAGTTGAATTAGACTTAACATGATTTAATTTGGACTTAATATAAACTGAATTGGACTTAACAGAACCGAATTGGACTTAACATGATATAACTTGGACTTAATATGGACCGAATTGGACTTAACATGAACCGAATTGGACTTAATATGATTTAAATTGGACGTAACATGAACCGAATTAGAATTAACATATAATCCATGTTAAGTCTATTTCATTTTATTTTACGTCTAATTTCATGTTAAGTCTAATTTAAATTAGACTTAAAATGATTTATATTAGACTTAACAAGATTTAAATTAGACTTAAAATGATTTAAACTGAACTTAACACGAATCAAACTGGATTTAACACGAATCAAACTAGACTTAACATGAACCAAACTGGACTTAACATAAACTAAACTAGACTTAATATGAACTAAATTAGATTAAAATTAGACTTAAAAAATTAAATTAGATTTAATATGAATCAAATTACGCTTAACATGAAGTAAAATTGGACTTCACCACACTAATCTTAGTGTTCTGAAAACCAACTTGTATTATACTCGCCATCGATTTGCTGCTTTCAACTTGTTCTCCCATTGCGAACTAACTCCAAATTATAGAGAAAGAACAAATTTGATAGAAATTAGGAACCACTCAACTGAACCATAGATCGGATTCTAAATAGATCTCCTATCCACACGAGGAAAGCGAAATCTCCAACGGTAACTCCTAATGCTATCTCCACCGAAGCCTAGAACTCCAAGAACCAAGCTTCACACAAGAATCTTCCTCCACCAAACTCCAAAAAACCCTAGATCTGAAATCTGGGCTCTGATACCACTTGTTGCGCGCAGCGGAAATTTCGGCAACACTTCGGCAGCACAACAAGAGAGTCAGATCGCAATAAGAATTCCCGTCTCACCAAGAAAACAAGAATCTGAAGCGAATATCTCAACAAAGTGAGATATCGGCTCTTCCTCTCATCAGTTCTAGGACTGACCTGTCGAGGGATCCTAAAAAGCTATTACAAATCACACAAAAAGCAGTACAACCAATTTTTACGTGGTTCGGCAAATTGCCTACGTCCACGGGGTAAGGAGGGGGGAGATCTAC